TGCTCACACCTGTCTAAAAGGGGCAGCTGCTCAATTCCAGCCTAGAATTGCCAGGAGCAGAATAATCCAGTGTAGACAGACCTTCCCATTTTTTTTTCAAGATAATCAGAAATATAGATAAAATCTCCTGACTTTTAAATATTAATGATTTTTTATTTAAAAATCTTAATCTTATTTAACCAGTTCTGGCAGCTGAATGTTTTATAAAAACTTTACAGATTGTATAGTTTATATACATTTCATACTGAACAAAAAAAGGGTGTTTGAGCCCTTGTTTGATGCAAAAATACTGCACCAACCAATCCCAGGTAAAGGCAGATTTACCCCCTGTAGAGCTCTCCCTGCAGCCAGGAGGCGGTCGGTTCTAAGTATAAACTTCAAAACTGTACAGAAGGAAGGTTTTGACTTCACTTTTCAGACATTCAGTATGATTGCAAGCTCTGAAGCCTGACTAATAAGAGGCATCTGTATGCAGGAACCAGCTGCCACTCCTGAGAGCAAGTGCACCTCTGTTTACGCAGGGCACTCTTGGGCACTGCACTGTACTCGGAATGTTGTGTCGACATGAAAGCGGATACCAAGAACATTAAATGTCAAATATAAAGTAGTTCTTTTTTTTTTTTTTAAGAAAAAAGGAGTCTCTGCATTTAATAGTGTGCCAAAAGAATTTTTTAAAATATTTTTTATTGTTTTTTTACAGAGGAAGGGAGAGGGATAGAGAGTTAGAAACATTGATGAGAAACATCAATCAGCTGCCTCCTGCACGCCCTCTACTGGGGATGTGCCCGCAACCAAGGTACAGGCCCTTGACCAGAATCAACCTGGGACCCTTCAGTCCTTAAGCCCACGGTCTATCCACTGAGCCAAACCAGTTAGGGCCAAAAGAATTCTAACTTACTAAATAAAATATATCCTAAGTGAACCTAAAAATTACACTTTACAAACATAAACATATTTTCTGGTGTAATCCATCAATCTTATCTGCAAATAGAAAACCAAAATTGTGTAATATGAAGTAGTATTTCTCACCCAGCAACAAGAAGCTTGCAGTCATGTTTCCAAATGGGTCAGAGACACTATTTAAATCAATCCCATGAAGGCTAGCGTAACTTAGATATTTACACCTAAGCTATCCAGTGCTTCGCTATTTCTGCAAAACCAGCTTTCTTCTGGAGACAGTGGTTTCTTCATGTTAACTGGGTAAGAACCAGACACATTAAACAGGAAGGAAAAGGCAATTGATTTTTTGCGGCATAAATCCCAAGCATACTTTAGTTTGGGGCCATGTTCATTAGTGGAGTTTTCATCAGAAATATCCGAAAAGATGTCTTACTTTTGATTTAGATTTTTCATCTGAGGTACCTGTACCTTTCTGGAAACAAAAGCACATCTCAGGTCTTTCGGTATCTCTATTTGGTGTAGGGGAGGTGAGGCTGTCTGGTGCCTCTTTAGAGTCTATTCTAGAAGGAAAAAATAAGGAAACCAAACATTATTCTAGACTTTTCTGCCACCCCAAACCAGCAAAACATACTTTCCTTTTGTATACAGTACAAGCCAAAAGATAAACAGAAACTGAGAGCTTCAAAGAGCTGTCTAGCGCTTGCCATTGTACGTTCATACTTGTGTATATATTAAGTATAAAATAATGACTTTTGGACAAAGGAGCTTTGCAGTCATTTATTTGAAAGTTACAGTACTTAAAAACTCCTTGGTAATAAATAGCTTGGATGTTTCAAGTCCTGCATCCAGTGTGACCTTGGAGTGAACTTGTTTCAGGCTTTGGGAATGGATTAGAGCACCTTGGAGCTACAGATGTCCCGCTCTATAATTTCAGGGTCATCGGCAGGCAGCCTGCCAATCAAAACTCATCCATCTTCCTCTCAAGTATTTCAACAGGGAGTCCCTCCCTTGGGCGGAACCCCAGGTATTCTTTAGCACTTCACACTCCCTCCCATTGGCCGGCTCCAACTCCATCATCATGTTACAGTGCAGGGATGCTTTGGATTCCTCAGCACAACTGGATTGCACAAGGCAGGCTGCTTGTGACCCATGACTTCTTGGGTGAAGGTCCCAGGCCAGGACACCCAGGGGAGCAGGCCTTCTTTCGCTGCCAGATCCGGGCCATCTATCCATGCTTCACATGCAGATGCTCCTCCCATAATCTTGGGAAACGTAATGGTGGAACAGTCACCTGCACTCTGTCCGAAGGTAATAAAGGGTGTTTGAGCCCAAGCCTTTTCATCGGCCCAAACCAATTACAGAGAGGCAATATGTGGGGATGCTCCCAGTCCAATGGCTGGGCCATTTACTGCTACAATAATAGCTTCTTCAACGGAATGAAACCATTTATGACGTTTCTGGTAGCTTCCGCCATTTCAGTGGTTTCTCTTTTTCTGCAGCCAACACTGTCTCAGTTGGGTGCCTGCGTGGCCTGCGCTTCCTGCTCCTGCTGCTGCTGGGGAGCTCAACATAGAGGGGCCTTGAGCACTCAGTGCTCGGCCCTGGGGTGAGCCTCGGGCCTGGGACCCTGTGGGGGCATTGCACCAGGTCACAGCTGGTGCCGTGAATTAGTGATTTTTATTTTTAATGGCACTATTTTGCAGGCCAAACAGAATCCCATGGACAGCAATGATTCATGAGCCGCCATTTTGTAACTTCTGACCTGAATAAAAATTAAGTTGGGAGGTCTCCCAAATGCTATGAATTGAGTAGCACTGGGAAAGTGACCTCCTCTCACCACATATCTTCCCCAGTGTAGCCAACCCCTTCTAAAAATTCTCCGACTTAGTGTGTGGAGGCCTTCAATTTTTTTAAAAAAAATTGAGGGTCTGTTACCACAAAAAATGGAAATGGATATTGTGTAGGGAAAATACTACCCCAGATTTCCAGGGAGACCTGGACAGTTGCCCAGTTGCCTTGAATTTGACTAATTAGGGAGAGCAAATCCAGTGGCAAACGAAGCAACTTAAAAGCTTTTCTTCCCGTGAAGCCGATCTCATTAGTTCAGTTCCTGCTCTGAGTTCTGGCTCTGCGAGGCCATCAGGCTCCAGCTATGCTCTTGAATCTGATCTCAAAGGGAGAACTCCTTCCTGCCTCCACTGGCTGTGCTCCCATAGTCTTCATGGATGTTGTGACAGTGCGGCCAGCACCCATGCGAGCCTGTGGAGAAAACAGGTTAGAAACACAGCCTCAACCTGGTCTTCTCTCCCAGGCATGGCTTCCTTTCTTGAAAGACCTCTGTGACTGCTCTTGGCTACAACATAAGGTCTAGGCTTTTAATTGTGGCATTTATAAGGCCTGTGATTTGGGCTCCACCTATTTGCCTTTGTCTTTCAATATAACTCTTTCTGCATTGCACCGCAGTCTGACGGCACGAAGCTGTCTTGCATTCCCTCCACCACCCTGAACATTCCCCCTCCCTTACTTTTGCAGATTCTATTCTGTTCCTGGCATGCCTTTCCTTCCTTGCCACCTACTGTTGGAATTCTACTTACCATAGAGGAACTTGGGGTTCTTTTTGCCATCCAGTACCCAACATCCCTACCTTTCTAGTAGAATGCTGATCCTAAGGGCATTCTCCATGTCTGTGGTCTTGATGGCGTGAAAATGAATAAAGGAAGCCTCAACTACAATTGGAGTCAAGAGGATTTGTAGGGGGAGCTCTCACACTCTACTACTCGTCAGTCACCCCAACCAGGAAGAGCCGTACCTTGCATCTCCTACAGGAAGATGTTTTCTACTTTACTACCACGGCAGGAGAATGGAAGATTTTTCTCCTGACCTGGCAACAGCTCGGCCAATGAAAAGTCACTACACTTCAAACTTCCAGTTTCTTCCAATGGACTCTGTATTAATTCCTCCTAACTTCCCCCTTCCTCTATTTAAAAAAAAAAAGTTCTTCTCTTTCTCCAAACTTGCCTATGGCTTTGTCATAACTTGAATATCCTGAATTGCAATTCTTTGCTATTCCTGAATAAATTAATTTTTGCTGGTAGTACAATAACTTAGTGGTGTGTTTTTTAGAGTTGGAAAGGAATGACCAACTCTTGCTAAAGAAGCCAAAGCTACTAGCCTTCAATTCCTCATCCTGACTTGGCCAGTGGCTGAACATGTGACTTTGCTCAGTTTGTTATACATTCTGTCCTGGGACTTTGACAGGTAATAAAAGGACATTCTCAGTAGCAACAAGGCCAAACCAGCCCATTTTTTTCCATGTGGGGTGTGTATTCTTCATCCATGGCTCCCTTGATTCTACTCATTTGGTCATTTCAGCCTCCTGTAATTTCCATGATCTCCTGATCTCCTTCTATACCTTGCTCTTTTTTTGGTTAAGCTAGCTAAAGAAGCTTTCTGTTGCTTGCAGCTAAGAACTCTGTCTAACATATCCCTCTTTAAGGCCCAGCTTAGATCTTACCTCCCCACAAAGCTTTTCTTTATGCCATCCCTCTTCCACAGTCCTATAAACTCTCTAATAGAAAAGCAAATCCTTGAAATTGGCTCTGATTTTGAGTTATTTACTTACAGGTCTGTTCCCCCCACCAGATTGGGAGCTCCTTGAGGACACACTGTGTCTTAGGTGGCTTTGTAACTCCAAAGCTAGCACAGTGCTTGGCACATAGTAGGTACTTAATAATTTTGCATCAAATGGTAAATATGGGTTTAGTTGAATTTATGCAATTGTTTCTTTTTTTTCTAAATATTTTTATTGATTTCAGAGAGGAAGGGAGAAGGAGAGAGAGATAGAAACATCAATGATGAGAGAGAATCATTGATTGGCTGCCTCCTGCATGCCCCCTACTGGGGATCGAGCCCACAACCCAGGCAGTGCCCTTGACTGGAATCAAACCTGAGACCATTCAGTCCACAGGCTGATACTCTCTATCCACTGAGCCAAACGGGTCAGGGCAAATTTATGCAATTGTTTCTGTCAGGACATTGCACAGCTTCAGATATATTTTTTTCCAATTTCTATTTATTTAAGAAGGAACTGAAGACTGAAGGAAAAAGAAAATTATGCAGCTTTTATTATTAGCCAAGCCCTGGATCAGCTGCTTTCCATGCAGTACCAGGTCACTAAGTATGATAATGACCCCACTTTATGGCTGAAGAAACAGATTCCAGAAGCTCAAATGACTTTCCTAAAGTCACTGAACTGGTAAGAGACAGAACTGCTATGATCTCAACATGCTTTTCCTCATCCTCTATCTCCTCATGGTGATTCTCTCAAATTATGGAATGTCTAAAAGTTCAGAAGAAATGGAAGGAAAAGCAGGAGGTTGAAAAAACCTCAAACAACCAGCCCTTGAATGGAGAAGTATCTACATTTGGAAGCTTAAGTTAAATCTTTTACGGAGCATCTTACCAAGACTGTCTTTAAGAGTTTATTCATTATGGGACCTTCTAATTAATTAAGTTTCAGTTCATTTTAGCCCACAAATGCTTCAAATCACCAGGAAAGAATCTGGAAGTGAGAATGGTGGATGCACCAAATCCCAGTCCATACAAAGCTCCCCACTGGTAGGGGACGAAGGCTAATAAAAGCCTCACTCAAAGACAACAGGAATCCTATATGGACCAGCAAAGGGCTCTGGGTACACAGAGCAGGAGGGCAATTCCTGAAATACGTATCAGGAGTGACTTCACAGGTCAGAGTAAAAGGATGTGTAGAAGAGAAGCCAAGCAGGGTGGTTTAAGAGGGTGGACTCTGGAGCCAGCTGCCTTGGTCCAAATGTTGCTTGCAGCACCCGCCAGCTCTGGAATCTTGAACAAGTTTCTGTGCCTTTGTTTCTTCATCTGTAAAATGGGAGAATAGTAATGGTACCTACATCATTAGGTTCTGGTGAGGATTAAGCGAGTTAACATTCATAGTCTTAAACAGCAACCTAACACCAAGTGAGCACTCTGTGACTGGTACACTCCAGTGTAGGATGGACAGCAGAGAAAGGTGCAGGAAGGTGTTCCAGCCATGGAACCATAGGAGGTACACGTGGCAAATGGGAACGCAGCGCATGCTTCAAGGGCTGGAGCTCGGCGTGCACAAAGGGATGGGAAGGGTGGGCAGCAGTGGGCTGAGGTGGGATGGAGGACACCTAGAATGGAGGTGAGCTAAACCTCAGTGGAGGGCATGTGTGCAATGTAGTGACTTTTCCACGGAATAACCCCAATTTGAAGCCAAGAGACTATTGCAGATACACAACAATGAATCTGGCTTCTTGAGTTAGGGCATGGATAAAAATAGTCTACAGGAGAGAACCTTGGGTGTTTCTAAAAGGAAAAACCCAGAGAAAACTTTGCTATGAATTTTTAAAATACACCCCTAGAAGGAGAGGGAGGGAGGCCTGTTCTGTCTGAGGCAGCATGCTGCACATGTCTGAGGCAGCCCTTATAGAAAAAGATTGGCACCCAGACAGGGCACAGACACGAACCCTAAATCTCAGCTCACTTCCTGCTGTCTACCCCTGAGAGAGTCATTTATGATTTTTGGATCCATCACTTCTCCACCCTCAAAATGTGGACAAACCTACCTTTCTCTGCTGGGAAACTCTCTCATGATGTAAAACACTTAGCAATGAACAGGGTGCTGTGTGTGTGCTGGATAACACCACATGTAAATATCCCCATAGCCCCTCCCACCACGTGGGCAATTCCCAAAGCCATGATTAATCCCTTTTGAAAGCTCTGCATACATATCACTCTGCCTGCCCGTCTCCCAAGGGGGCACAGTTGATTAATTCTGAAATTCTCAACAGCCCTGAGACTGTTTAAACTTGTAAATGATGATTCTGTGATTCTAACTGGTTCAACCTTTGTGAGGCCCGGCACACCCAGGAGCCACAAACCCACAGAACAGGTTAACCCAGCCCCAGTCACCCTGAAGGATGTCAAGAGGGGTCCTTAGAATTTAATGCTCTGCTTGTGGGTGTGGCAAGAAAGAGCTGCTTTTTCTCATTTGGGGAACCTCCTTTTAAAAATTGAACAAATAATCTACATCCATTGTAAAAACATTAGATAATATAGCCAAAACATAGAAATACAAATTACTACAGTCCCATCACCCATAGAAATTCAGCATTAAGCTGTGTAGCATAAGTAACTGTTAATAGACATACCTTTTGCTAATCTATTGTCATATAGCCTTGCAGACTTCTTTCTATATATTTTTATAAAATAGAATATTATTCTCATTCTTATTAGTATCTTCTTATTCTCTAAGTTATTTTACTCAATAAAAAAATAAAATATAAAATAAGCACCTTTCTGTGTCTCAGTGTTGCTTTATGTCACCTTGTTTAATGGCAGACCAATATCTCACTGTAATATAATGGAGCAGTCAGAACTCTGAGGGAGATAGAAGCCCAAGTCAAACTGGCTTAAGCACCATGGAGGGTTTTATTGGCTCATGTAACTGAAAAGGCAGAAGCAAACTTTAAGCATGGCTGGATACGAGGACAACCATCTCAGCCTTCCTCAGGCCCTCCTCTCGATGTTCCTTTATGTTAGCTGCTCTCAGGTGAGCTCTTCTTGCTGCACGCTTAAGTCCTACCAACCCACATCCAGCGGAGGACCTCTCTGTCCCAACTGTTCCCACAAAAAGTCCCTGAGGAGAGTCCCAATGGCCTCGCTTCGTCCTGTGCCCATCTCTGAGTCAGTCACTATTCACTCTCAGGGGATGGAGGGCTCCTACTGGCCAGTGTCCTCTGTGGAGTTGGGTTAAGAGCCCCTTCCAGCACCAGGAAAAGATCTGTTTCTCAAGTTGGGATGCTGCTACTGTAAGAAAAACAATTGCTAGGCTGACCAACAATTACAGGTCGGGACCAGGCATATATGCATTTATTACACATAATAAACAATCTTCTTCATTGAGAGTTCTATATATGTTTGGCACTGTGCTAGTCATTTTACATATCTTGTATAATCCTCAAATAGTCCTATGAGGTTGGGGCTGTTGTCATCATCAGTGTTTTATAGAAATCTAAAGCTTAGCAAAGTTAGTTTGCCCAAAGCCACAGAGTTAAGCTAATAGGGTGCAGGCATGACTAGAGCAAGAGCCCAAGTTATCAATCCTTGTAAGGGTTGTACTTTCCTGAGCAGACCATAGTTGATGGAGCTGAAGAACTGTTGACATTGGATACCAAAGAGAATGAGCTGGAAAGATAAGAGGTATTGATCAGAGATAAGAACAAATAAAATTAAAATTATAGACAGGGTTGCAGATACTGATAATGATAAGGTGTAGGGTATGACAGTGGCTGTGGGTAGCTGAGATGTAAGATCTTTGGTGGAGGAGGAGATCAAGGAACTGAGAGGCCAGGGCATTGGAAGAATTGTCTACATGGACGTTGAAATTACCAAAAATTAGGTTAGGTTAGGAGAGAATGAGAAGCCAGGAACTAGAATCCTCAAGAAATGATGGGAAATCACATGGGTCTGGCAAGGACTACAACCAGAAGGGGCAGTGAGTGTTTTCACCTCTTCACATAACCTTTGGGGTTGTTAGTCCTCAGGCAGCACGAGGTCACAGCAAGAGGGTGAAGGGAACAGAGAGAAAAAATTTTGACAACATAAAAGATGAATCAATGGATTTCAGAAGATGCACTGGGAAGCATGGTGTCTGAGCCTAGGTAATAGAAAGTGTTGAAGAGAGAATAGATTTAAGATACATGAGAGAGGTACTTGAAGATGTGATGGGTGAAGGACAGGTAGAGACCAGGCATACACATGTTCCATTTTGATAGGTAATCAAGTTCGCTCAAGACAATTCACAACTATGCCAGAAAGAGTTGGGTGCTACAAATAAAATGCACAGTAAGAAATTTGTCCCCAAGAAGCTTCCTAAATGTTAGGAAGTAAAGTAAGTATATGAGAAATAGATAATGTGAAGTCAATGAAGTCAACTGCAGTAAGTGAGATTGGAAGGAAAGGATATTGTTATTTGGTGGCTGATGAGGCCAGATATTATAAAAGAATGACAGCTGAGATGAGTTTTAAAGAATGGGAAGGATTCCTACATCTGGAGAGTTGCTGATGGAGACAAATAGCATGAGCAAAGATATGGTAAGGGGGAAACACTTGGTATATTTGGAGAAAATGGAGTGACTCATTTGACTGGTTGTTAAGAAATTGTGAAAGATAAACCTATAGGATGAAGAAACAGGGAAGGGTGGAAGATTGTTAGCTTTTTTTGCTGTCTTCCACATGTGGTTAAGCTACTAGTGGAAAGAGGATTTTAAGACAAGGAGACCACTTGGGGGAAAGATACATTTTGTGTAGAACATGTTGCATTTGAGGTAACTGTAGGACATCCCAGTGGAGGACATACCCAGTGATCAGTGATAAATTACCATTTGTATTTCTTATGAGAAATACTATATGGATGTGTAATACCTGCATATGTCTGCATTTTTTAAATACCCCGACTCATTAAAAAAATGATTTGACTGACACACAAATATACACATCAGAATTTTTTAAAATGAGAAATTAGACAAAGGAAAATACAAGGATGAGAAACAAAATTAAATTTAAGCCATAAGGTAAACATATCATCTTTATGCCATAAAATCCTGTCAAATTGCTAGAGGTGGACAGTACTTGTGGCTTTGAACTTCCTAGCAACCAAAACAAAAAGAGGAAGCAATGATCAGTTGTCAGATTTCTAATGGATGAGAAATACACATCTGTAAATGTTCGGAACAGGAGAGGTGAGGACTCGGATTTATACAACAGAGCTCTGAAGGAGACATCAGATGTCCTCCTCACCTGGTCCCCCTCCCATTCAAGAGCACATCCAGCTTGAAGTTAGATATGAACTTATGATTTGCTCTGTCCAATGATGTGTGAGCACAAGGGGTGTGTCATATTTTCAAGTGGAAGTTTAAAAGCCAGTACGGAACTCTCCATTCACGCTTTCCCGTGCCACAGTGACCACGACTGCCAAGAAGAGAATATAGAGAAAAAGGGAAGGAGAATGGGCTGTTTGGCAACATCTAATGAGACAAGAAAGAAGGCTGAAAGAGGAGCAAGAACAGTGCAATACCTAGAAGAAAGACGGTGGGAACCACAGGATCCTAGAAACTAAGTTGAAGGCTTTTTCCAAAGGGAGAACCTGAGAAAGATTAAATGCTTCCCATAGTCACACAACCAAAAAGTTGTCTAATTATTATCTAAGTTCATTCTTAATGAGGGAAAGGGAACTACAGGCCCTACCACTTTCCAGCTGTATGACCTAGGGCACAGTTAGCCCACAGTTTACTCACCAATAAACTGGGGACAAGAAAAGTACCCCCTAAGAAGATAGTACCTCCTCTGCAATATTATGAGGACAGGATCATATATTGTCCGCAATGCACAAAGGTTAGGGTTCTATGCTTTGAAGACCTGGAATTCGCAAATGTACTCGAATATTCATTTTCACCTTTTGAACCCAGAAAGGGGAAATTGGGCTTTAGGCATCCATTCCCACAACCACACATCTCCAGGCTCTGCAGGCCACAGAAGGCCTGGACCTGGGACTCTGGCAACACTCACTTAACCTGCATGAGCAAAACAAAATGAAATCACAGTGCTTGCCAGCATCTACCCTGCAAGCTCCGAAGGACAATCTCTTGGCAGGAAGGGAAAATAATCTTTTATTCCTCAACCCCTTGGATTCCAGTTTGAGCCAAAGCCCTATTTTATGAAATAAAAGCAGTGATCCGGCAAAAAAACAATTTTTCAAAAATGGAGTGCCTAATAACGAGAAACAGTACCGCCTCTCAGATGTTATATCTCGGCGTTGCCGTAGGGGCTCACGC